TTGAGAAGGTGGAACCTGTCATTGTTTATGTTTGTTTGTTTTTTATATACACCTAATTAACAGATTGTTTCAGCACTATTGAGGGGAGACAAAAGTAGTTCATGAAATGACACCTTGAAGGAAATGTTGAGGTGTTGCTTAAAAGTTTGTCAGACTGTTATTAACAATACACATTTTCTTTTATTAGGCTGTTTGAATATTATGTTACATCAGCTAACGTTTCCTTTGTCTAAGATCACCTCCTGTTTTAGCAGTATGTTATGGTTTATTTTTCTTTCACTCTGCTTCAGGGTCAGAAAACAAGGCAGCTCAGGGTGAAGAACGTCATCGTCTTATTCACAGAGAATCCACATTACCCTCTCATGAGCCAGTTCGTTATTTGAACCGAAATCATTCTAGCTCTGAGAACAACTACGAAGATGACCCAAACTCCGACCAGGACAATAGACCAGGTAAAGACTCCTGATTGATATGCTCTGTTATTGGTGGTGTCTTATGTGCCAGGTTTAAGCTATAGGATTCATCAGAACTATATACTGTTGCAGTGACATGTTTGTGTGTTACAACAGTAGCAAAGCCTGGGTTCAATGCAAATCAATAGCAAAAAAACATCTGTTTAAGAATGAGTGAACCATACAGGTAGTTATTTTCTTTCCGATTGTTATTTTGCAACTGTTAGTGCTGATTTTAGAAATTCCAAAAAAATTCTTCTGCACAGAAACCATGAAATACAACACGATGTTGAATTTTCTCTCTTTATTTTTGTGGATAATATATTAAATAGTTCCCTGATACTGTTTCTCAGTGGAAGAAAACTTTTCCTATAGAGTTTATTTTCTCCTATATATAGTGCTGAACAGAGGGACATAATTAACATGATTTCAGGGAATTGCAGAAGTCCCAAACTGAATTGAAGGGAAACTGTTAAGATAAGATATGGTTTTATTTATCTCACAGTGGAGAAATTCACATTGTTGTCAGCAGCAGTACGCACAGAGATATAGTGCAAACACAAGTATAAAAATACACATAAAAAAGAATAGTGCAAGCACAGAATATAAAAATGAGGATATATATATATATGATATAGAAAATAAAGAATAAAGATATAATAACCATAATAATAATATAAACTGAACCAGAAATTGTGTTTATTTATTTTGTTTTATTTTTTTACAGAACGTGGTGTCGATACGAGGCCCCTAAAAGGTGACATTAGCAGAACTGTCATTCATGATTATTGACACATGGTGTAAAAAGCACTGCAGACTGAGTTTTTTCCGGTTGTGATTCAATCCTTGCAGGTGTCCAAGAACGTGTAATGGAAATTAATAGAACTGATGCAGAACAGAAAGCAAAAGGTAATTTCCGTATCTCTCAATAAATAACTGATCACAGCAATGAAATATATTGATAATAGACAAACACCCTCAAATACTTTGTAGAACAAGCACTTTGGGAAATTAAATGTCAGCTGCCACAATTTGTTTTAATCAGAATTTTGGGAAAGTACAACAGATTCTCAGCTTATTTGACAGCAGCAAGAAATACTTATTTTCAGCTCTAATCATTTTTTAAATTGGTTAAAAGTTTTATCTATAAAATGGAAAAAAGAAGAAAGAAATACATGAAAAGAAGAAGCTCAAAACCCAAGTTGACACCTTCAGGCTGCTTGTTTTCCAAATTTGATGGTGTTCACTGAGCAGTCCTTTAAAACAGTCGCCTGGAAGAAACTAGAACCAAAGTTCGTTTTTGTGCAAATTAAGTGATTTTTAAAAATTCTGACCATCAACTGATTCACAAACCAAATGACTTTATCAGTTCTACTTGTTAATGCTAATGACTAGATTGCTTCATTCACAACGTCNTAAATTATTAGCAGACTGCTGCACTTTTTATACTAATTTGTTTTTTTTCCTCTTTTTAGTGCCTGTTTCAGAGGTCGCGAAAGAGGCAGGCAAGGAAACAGCATCTCCTCCTGCACATGATGCCGCTCCTCCTGCTGTCCGGCCACGTTTAGCTTCAGACTCATCCTCTCAGGATGTGGCTGGTGAACATAGGGAAAATCCTAGCTCTGATCAGATCATAGAAGACACTACAGGGGGAACGTTTGAGGAAGGTGGCTCATCAGAACCAGAGGATATAGATAAATCTGAAGACAAGACAGGTAAAGAAACAACAGTGAAGGACCACGGTTCTAACCTGCCACAGAGAGAAATGCACTTCGCAGAAAGAGACACTTTTCTGAAGACAATATTGAATCAGATAGTGTAGGTTACCAGTGGATGTGAGAAGCTGGAACCAAGTGTTTGTTTTTGCTTTGTGAATGATTTGAAACATTAGTCAAATGAAGCGATTGATTAAATTACTGTCAATCAACTAATTCACTTACCAAATATTTCCGTAGTGCTTGTTAATGCAAACGACTTGATTGTGTAGTTTAACTCCCAAGATAGCTTCTGTATGGTTTAGTCCCTTGAAGCATCCTTTTTTTGTGTTTGTGTGTGTTTGTGTGTGTGTGTCAGGTTTAGAAAACACAGAGGGTGGTCCTTCAGACTCTGAGAAGGCGAGTAAGTTGTTGGATGACCAGAGTAAGGATGAAATGTCTAACCTGCAGTCATCCCCTGTGTCTGAACAGTCAGGTTTGCAAAATTCTTTTTTCTTTCTTTTTTTTTTTAGCTAGATTTGGAATCAGGTTTGCCAACTGTGAGACTGTTTATATGAGACTCAGTAGCTTATACGTCCATAGAAATATGTGATACACAGGATGAAAAAGTGTAGCAGCATATTAATTGTTTGTTCACAACATTTTCGTATTTCCTCTTTCACAGAAGAATAAACATAACCCTCAGCCAGTGGTCACCCATTAGGATTGACGGTTTTGACAGTCAAACTGTATTTTTATAAGCACNCTATAGGCAGATTCATCAGAACTATATACTGTTGCAGTAACATGTTTGTGTGTTACAACAGTAGCAAAACCTGTGTTCAATGCAAATCAGTAGCAGAGTGAACCATACAGGTTGTTGTTTTCTTTACGATTGTTATTTTGCAACTGTTGGTGCTGGTTTTAAAAAGTCTAAAAAATTCCTTTGCACAGAAATAATGAAATACAACACTATGTTGAATTTCCTCTCTTTATTTTTGTGGATAATATGTACACAGTGCTGAACAGAGGGACATAAAGCAGAAGTCCCAAACTGAATTGACCTGAAAGTGTTATGAAATGAACCAGAAATTATGTTGTTTTTTTTTTGTTGTTTTTTGTCTTTTACAGAATGTGGTGTTGATAAGAGGCCCCAAAAAGATGACATTAGCAAAACTGTCATTCATGATTGCATGGTGTAAAACGCACTGCAGACTGATTTTTTCCGGTTGTGATTCACTCCTTACAGGAATTGTCCAAAAACGTGTAAAAGACATTGAGGCACACAATCAAAACCCGAAAGCAACAGGTAATTTCTGTATCTGTCAATAGATAACTGATCACAGCAGTGAAATATATTGATGATAGACAAACACCTTCAAATACTTTGTATAACAAGCTCTTTGGGAAATTAAATGTCAGCTGCCACTAATTGTTTTAATCAGAATTTTGGGAGGGTGCAACAGATTCTCAGCTTATTTGACAGCACGAAGAAATGCTTATTTTCAGTTCTAATCATTTTTTAAATTGGTTAAAAGTTTTGTCTATAAAATGGGAAAAAAAAGAAATACATAGAAACAAGAAGCTCAAAACCCAAGTTGACATCTTCAAGCTGCTTGTTTTCCAAATTTGATGGTGTTCACTGAGCAGTCCTTTAAAAGAATCGCCTGCAAGAAACTAGAACCAAAGTTCATATTTGTACAAATTAAGTGATTTTTTAAAAAATTCTGACCATCAACTATGGTCTATGTGGTTGTAACTATATGTGTTATGTTTAGAGAATTCAAATTGCCAATGTATTGTGTGTGTGTGCATATATATATGTATATCAGTGTACAGCTCGTCTTAACAGTGTACATTTACTGTCCTCTCAAAATAACTTAGTACACAGCCGTTAATGTCTAAACCGCTGGCAACAAAAGTGAGTACACCCCTAGGTGAAAATGTCCAAATTAGGCCCAATTATCCATTTTCCCTCCCTGGTGTCATGTGACTCGTTAATGTTACAAGGTCTCAGGTGTGAACGGGGAGCCGGTGTGATACATTTGGTGTTATCGCTCCCACACTCTCTCATACTGCTCACTGGAATTTTAGCATGTCAGCTCATGGCAAAGAACTCACTGAGGATTAGGGCTGGACCTGAATAGTCTAATAATTGGTCAGTGTGGTGGTATCCGGATATCAATTTTAAGATCCGAATACATATATGCTTTTCACTGTACAGAATAGAAGGGAGGAATGAAAGTGAGGGAATAGCGCGTAAACCTCATGTGAAATGATTGTGTCTTGAGCTGTAGAGCACCTCACCTTCAGATTGAGCATGTGGCCAGAGCACAGCGCTGAGATTATGCATCCTTTTTCATATGTGCTTTTATATTGCAGCAACATCATCATATTGACTGTTTATTCATAATAACTGAGTATTTCTTGGATCCCAGAAGAACAAAAATCCATCTCTGCCAGTGGTCACCCTTAAGGAATTACAATAATGCTTCTTAGTTTTCTTACGAGCTGGAAGAGGAGCTAAATTCAATTTCATGTATTTCTTATTTTAATGCAGTCCATTGCTTGCTTGGGAAAGAGCTTCTTGGCTTTGC